TGGGACAGTGGGACCCCCACTGCTCAAATTATCATAGTGAATACAGGTATCCTTGACCTTTACATCTTTCCCTTTCCTGATTTTAGATGATGGGAGTTCAGATAGCAAAGTGTTTGCCAAGTTGATTTGGTTCCTGAGGTTTCGGCAAATAGCAAGGAAGTCACCCAAAAATTTCTGTGCATCTATTCAGTTGCTGCGTTTGGAGAGAGGAGAGTTGTGATAGGAGATGGTTTGGAGTGGGTAGAGTTTGAAGAAGGGACAGTTTGAAGGAGGGGTAATAGGGGAGGAGAGTTAGTAAAATAATGCTAGGATTGTATAGTACACAGCCTGCACAACTGTACATTGCAGCCCTGGCTCTGAGTTCCAGGCTGGTTGCAGTCCCTGGTCTCAGGACAGGATTATGAAGAATCAGAGGGACTGGGGTCCTGGCTTGCCTCAGTCCCCGACCCTGACTTGTCTCTCTCTGCCCACAGCTCAGGCACCCCACGGGTGCCCCCTGCCTCCCCCTCCAGTCACAGCCTGGCACCCCCATCAGGGGAGCGGAGCCGCCTGGCACGCGGCTCCACCATCCGCAGCACCTTCCACGGTGGCCAGGTCCGGGACCGGCGGGCAGGGGGTGGGGGTGGTGGGGGTGTGCAGAATGGGCCCCCTGCCTCTCCCACGCTGGCCCATGAGGCTGCACCCCTGCCCGCCGGGCGGCCCCGCCCCACCACCAACCTCTTCACCAAGCTGACCTCCAAACTGACCCGAAGGTGAGCTCCGCAGGGGTGGCAGAAGCGGGGTGGAGCAGGGTGGGGGGGCTGGTGGGACCTAACCTGTCTTCTACTCTGCTCTGTCTCCTGTACCCGAACATTTCCTCCTCCTCCTCCTCCTCCTCCTCCTTTCCTCCTCCCCTGTCGTCCCTCACCGCCCTCCTCACACTGCAGGGTTACCCTCGATCCCTCTAAACGGCAGAACTCTAACCGCTGTGTTTCGGGCGCCTCTCTGCCCCAGGGATCCAAGATCAGTAAGTCCCGTCCATGCCCTGTTCTCGCTGGCCCTGCCTCCCTGTCTGCATGTCTCACCTGTGTGTGCGGGCATTGGGGAGGGGGCTCTGTGGATGTGAGTGGAGTACAGGGTCAGTACGTGGGGTCTGGTTGTTCATTTACTCACAGAAGCATAGCCTCTGGAGCCAGACTCGGGGGTTCAAATGGCAGTTAGTCAAGGTCTCTGGGCCTCACTTTCCTCTTCTGTAA